CCGGCGAAGACTCATTCGGCAGGCGGGAGGCGGGCCCCTCAGCCAATCGCCTGCGCCTTCTGGAACGACACGCGCACGGGCCGCACCCACAAGTGACCATCCCCTCTGCCCTAATTAAAACGACGCCGCCCCGCCCAAACTTTTCTCGAGCTTTTCCTTCTTTTTTTCGACCCATCACCCAACAACCCATTAACATCTACCGTAAGCACCAGATTACTGGGAGATATCGCCAAGATGTCGAAAATTACGGTCGCCAACGTCCGCGCTCAGGTCGGTGAGCTCCTCGAGTACTCCCTCGAGACCAAGAAGCGCAACTTCCTTGTCAGTATTCCCTCCCCGGGCGCCGTCGCAACATTTTCGAATCGAGAAAACCCCAAGACTTGCGCGACGTCAATCGTCACCACAACCGCTAACCCCCCCATAGGAGACTGTCGAGCTCCAGATCGGCCTCAAGAACTATGACCCCCAGCGTGACAAGCGTTTCTCCGGAACCGTCCGCCTGCCCATCGTTCCCCGTCCCAACATGAGCATCTGCATTCTTGGTGACCAGCACGATATCGACCGTGCCAAGCACGGTGGCGTTGACGCCATGTCCGCCGACGATCTCAAGAAGCTCAACAAGAACAAGAAGCTGATCAAGAAGCTCGCTCGCAAGTACGACGCCTTCGTCGCTTCCGAGACTCTGATCAAGCAGATCCCCCGTCTCTTGGGTCCTGGTCTGTCCAAGGGTATGTCGCGTCTCCTCTCTTGCCACAATCGAACAGCAGCTAACCATGTCCTCACAGCCGGCAAGTTCCCCACCCCCGTCTCCCACTCCGACGACCTTACTGGCCGCATCAACGAGGTCAAGTCCACCATCAAGTTCCAGCTGAAGAAGGTTCTCTGCATGGGTGTCGCCGTCGGCAACGTTGGCATGACCCAGGAGGAGCTCGTTGGTAACATCATGTTGGCCATCAACTACCTCGTCTCCCTTCTGAAGAAGGGCTGGCAGAACGTCGGTAGCCTTACCATCAAGGCTACCATGTCTCCCCCCAAGCGCCTTTACTAAGCGCGTCGTTGGTTTTCTACGGCGTCTGTGCTAGAGTACCGCTGGGGCTGCGTCCTCGCGTGCTTGTGATGAGTGCATGAGGCACGCTGGCCTAGTAATGGGAAAGGACTACGGGCAATCATAGGAAGCTCTGCGGTCGGATTAGGAGCCGGCCAATACAACATCCTTTTCCGAACAAATACTTGTGGCACATTGTGAGAAACCGTGACAATGTGAATTATGTTTGATGTTACAGGATTGCCAAGTCCCAGTTTTGGCTTGGCTGCTCCAAGCAGTCCGTACATGATGAAATCCCTTCCTAGCTAGCAGCCATGCCACACAACCGATCTGCCATTCGTCTCTGCGCTGAACGCAATATTTAAGGAATCTTGTTTTGTCCACTCCCAATCAGCAAGGTGCCACAGTCAGCCAAAGGCCTCTTAGCAAAGAATACCATGGACGTCGCAAAACTTCTCAGACACCGGGAGATTGGCGGCAGCGTCCTTGGCCGCTCTATCTGCCTCGCCGTTCCACTGGCGCGGAATTCTCCAGAACCGAACCTGCATGCCCCTAGCCTTCAGCTGCTCGATCCTGAGCAGTAGCGTCTCCCACAGGTCACGATTCTTGACGCGGCCGCCGGTACTCAAATGCCAGTCCTTGCGCATCCATGCACGCACCCAGTCCGTGGCACCATTGACGACGTACGTTGAGTCCGTAGCGATGACAATACTTTTGAAGCCCTCGCCATACCATTCGCGGAACCGCAGTGCGGCGATGACGGCACGCAGTTCAGCGCGATTGCTGGTGTGTTGGTAAATCTCGCCACCCGGACCTCGGTCCTCGAGGCGCAAAGAGACCACGCCGGACTGCTTCTCCGAATAAGTGGGCTTGAAGACGAACGCGCAGCCGCCGCGGGCCTTCGCGGCGCCGTTGTCGAGGCAGGCTCCGTCGGTGTAGATGAGGGCCTCTGACTTGTCGTAGCGGTTTATGAAGCGGACTACATTTGGCATTGCCTTTATGCTGACACCGGGAGGGAAGTGTTCCACTGGGGATAGAGCGTCGTCATCTGGTTCAAACACGACAGGAATGACGTTGCCCTGTGGTTTCTTGTTAATGTCGTAGTCCCGGATAGGCTTGGATTCAATGATGTCCTCCGCGGCGATCTCACGCTTGCGTCCGTACTTGCTGTTGGCGACATTATCGAAAGTGACATCACGGGGCAAGGCGTTGATACCAGTGCTGAAGAGCTCTTCGTCTGATGAGTCGTCCATCAAGCGGCCCTGGCGGAACTTGCGTTCCAGACGCTCAAGTTCGCCCTCTTCCTCGTCTTCGCCATAGCCATCTTCTACCTCATAGCTGAAATCGAGGCAGCAGCGTCCGCAAACGACTTGGTGATGAAGCGCGCAGACGGTGATGGTCCGCCCATTGGGCAGGTTGACATAGTCGATGTCCGGTGGTGAAAACATGGCTTTACCCCGCTTGGCGTTGAGAAGGTTGCGGTAGGCACAAAGATGGTGATGAGGAGGTAGGATTTTCTTTGCACCAGAGGAAATGGAGCTGTCGGGAAGTCTCGTGCTTGAATTCAATCAGCTAAGGGAGAACATTGAAGTTGCAGGGAGGATGTATTTTGCAGATTACCTCGAGGGTCAAGCTGAGATTATAAGTGATGTTGCAAGGAGACGTGGACGAAAAAAAAGGAAGGAATGATCTAGGGTCAGGTCAGTGAGGCAGGCGCAAGGAATCGGAAGTGGCGGCCTTCCGTACCTACGTTGGGCAGGGAAAGACACAGCGACCAAGACGAAGGAGAGGCAAGAGACGGGAAAGGAGCTGTGGCAGTAACGCCCGATTGAAATAATTCGGTCCTAGCTTCCGCAAACAACTGCTGCAAACGGGCACGTCGAACGGCCAGGCTTCCACCGTCAAACCCCCGCGAATTTGGTCACATCGTGATATGTGTGCAAGAAACAATTTGGGTAACATTAGCGGAGCTTGTTCCGAGAACCTGGCATAGGGCCAAATCCAATTATGAGCTGCAGGAACCTGAAGACTAGTTATGTGTGAGTTAGCGTGTCTACAATGTTAGAGAGCCAACCGAATTCTGCACCAAACCGCTGCCGGTTGATGTTATCCGGGCCAGGACCTTGAAGCGTTCCCGCATATTTAAAATAGATAGAACCCAACGTGTAAAGCAACAATCACGGGTTCTAGATCAGAATGTGTTCGTCGTGTTTTGAACTGCACAACTCGTCTATAGATAAATCCAGCGTCACATGTCGACGTGCATCCCCAACATGAGCGGCCAAACTGCCACAGAGACGCCACAAAACACAGTCTGCAGCATAGCCTTTCTCAAACGCAAAGCAGACTTGACGCAGGAGGAGTTCTACCATCACTGGGAGAATGTCCACGGGCCTCTTGTCAGACCCTGGGCCGAGAAGCACGGCTTCATCTCCTACACGCAGGTAAACACGCCACACTCCCGTTGAATACCTCGACTAAGAACGTCTCCCATCATAGGTCCATGCCGCGCAGGCGATGAACAAAGAAGCAACACCTATAGGACCCGAGTCTCGCGATGCCAACTCTTTGGAGGGCTTCGACGGATGCGCCGTCTTCGAACTGCCCAGCTTCGAGGCGTTTGCAGCCGCTTTCAAGGATGACTACTACCTCAACGTCATTGAACCCGACGAGAAGAACTTTATCGACAAGAAGGCCGGTGTGATGAGGTCCAGGGGCGATATGAGGAAGATCCTGTAGTCTCAGGTTTTGGTCATTTTGCCACTCGTGCGTTAAGATCGATAGGATACGAGGCCACATTTGAACGATATGCGATGCGAAACGAAACTGAATTCCACTCAAGTCGGTGGTGGGTATCTATCTAACGTACTTGCTCATGAATCGCTTGTGGAAATCTGAGCGGAGGAGATCCTGTACTCAAGTTAGCAAAGCCGCACACAAGCCAATCCACACAACAAACTTACGTTGATGAACTCCTTGCCCTTCTTCTCCTCGGTGCCTCTCGCCTGGTTCTTGAAGACGACGTCGTCGTCCCACCGTCGCTTCATGGCGAAATCGGGCTTGTTCAACAGCGGGTTCCCTAGCGCAATGTCCCGCTCCCTCTCCTCCTCTTCCGCCTTGGCCCTCTCTCGCTCCTCGCGCTCCCTCTTCTCCGCCCTCTCGCGCCTGATCTTTTCCATCTCCCGCTGCAGCTCCGCCTCCTCGTCATCGCTGTCCTCGTCGCTGTCGCTATCATCGTCCTCCTCTTCGTCTTCCGAATCGGCGTCTATATCTCGCGACTCTTCCAATATCCTCCGTCTCTTCGTCTCAAAGTCTTCCTCGCCATCTGCTTGTGATGCCGCCTCCAGAGCGCGCTTCACGCCACCGGCAGGCGCGTCGTCGTCGGCAGCGGATGGGGGAGGAGCGCCGCCGTTCTTCTTGGCGAAGTGGGCGGCCTCGGCGGCGAGGAGCTCGGCTCTGAGATCGCGGGGTTCGTCGTCGGCCTCGCCGCCCTGACCGGCCTGACGGAACTTGAGCTGCGTGTGCGCCGGAAGGAGGCGTTGATGGTAGGCTGGGCCGCGCAAGGCTTCTTTGCCTCGTGCCTGCATTCATTTGTCAGCATTGAAAGGAAATAACGACTGGACAGGGTGAGCGTACCGGATCGAAGGTGGGACGGTGAGCGGTGGTCATCTTGGAATGCTGTGTCGAGATGTAGAAGTCGTGTTGATGATTGAAGTTGGCTAAACTGGGTCGCAAAAGGGACCTTCTCCAGATGCACTGCTGCACGCGCAGGTGGCTGACAGGACCAGGTTCAGCTGCAAGGGTACTGCGAGCTAAGGCATCCACCGCCCGGCAGAATTTTCGCAGGCGCCCCACCAATACGATTGACCTCAGTAAACACTTCCAGTAACTCAAGAGTGGCTCTCGGTCTGAACTGTGAGAATCGGCCCTTTACAGCAAGAGTCCAACCGCAAAAATGCCCAGAGAAGCCGAGCCATCAGCAAATGAGAAGGCCTTCGTCACACAAGCTCTCAAGGAGAACTTGAGGCTTGACAGCCGCGAATTCGACCAATACCGAAAAGTTCAACTCACTTTCGGTGATGAGTATGGAGTGGCCAATGTAGAGCTGGGCAAGACGACGTACGAAAATGGTCACCTCTTGAGAAGTAAAGAACGGCATGTACTAATACATCTCACAGGATACTCGTCAAAGTCTCAGCAGAAGTTACAGTCCCCTATGCAGACCGCCCATTTGAGGGCATCTTCCAAATCGTCACTGAGCTGAGCCCCATGGCGTCGCCGGCCTTTGAGGTCAATCGCCCAACTGAAGCCGAGGTCCTGCTCTCACGCCTGCTCGAGAAGACAATCCGCCGGTCCGGCGCCCTCGACACCGAGTCGCTGTGCCTCGTCGCCGGCCAAAAGGTCTGGTCCGTCCGCGCCGACGTCCACGTCCTCTCCCACGACGGCAACCTCACCGACGCGGCCTGTCTCGGCGTCATCGCCGCCCTGCGCCACTTCCGCAAGCCAGACACCAGCAACGAGGGTGAGGCCCTCACCATCTTCACCCCGGCAGAGCGCGAACCGGTGCCCCTGAGCTGGCTGCACAGCCCTTTCTGCGTCACTTTCAGCTTCTACGGCGACGAGGGCGAGATCACCCTCATCGACGCCAACTGGCTCGAGGAGCAGCTGCGGACAAGCAGCCTGACGGTCAGCTTGAACAAGCACGGAGAGATTAGCCAGATTTCCAAACTCGGAGGGACGCCCGTGGAGGCGGTGACGCTGCTGCACTGCGGCAACGTGGCGCTGCAAAAGGCCAAGGATTTCTCGACGCTGGTGGACGAGAAGCTCGCGGACGACGCCAAGCGGAGGGACAAGGGCGGTCTCATCTCGGAGCTGTTGTCTGCGGAGAATGACAGAGTAGTGGACGCATAGATTTGTCATGCCTGACGTAGAAGAAAAATTGTAAAATGATACCCAGCCATATACGCTCTCTCTGGAACCATCAAACTTTGGTAGTGAACATCTTCTCCCGTGGGGTACTCGTCCTCCTCTTGGGGCCAAACTCCAGAAACGCCGCTCTAATGATTTGTGAAACATCATTGCCTCGTGAACCGATACGAACATTCCCCGTACGCAGCATCACCGCATCACCGGCGGCCTCGACTCCTTGTTCCACTTCACTCGCGACCTCACCCACTCCACCGCCTCCTTCACGCCCGTCCCCGTCAGCGCGCTCACGGGCAGCACCCTCGAGTCGCGGATGCTGCTCGCCTTCTCGCCCTCAAACACCTTCTTCACCAGCCCCTCCTTGATCCTGACAACCTCGACGCAGTCCTCCCGATCCTGCTTGTTGGCCAGCACCAGCACCGGCACGCCCTCCGTCTCGGAATGTTGCAGCACGTCCTCCAGCACCAGGCGGCACTCCTCCAAACGCCCCGAGCTGTCGTGCTCCAGGTTCCCGTCGCCGATATCAGTCGAGTCGATGATGAACACGATGGCGTGCGCGGAGGCGTAGTAGCTCTGCCACAGCCGGCGCAGCGAGTGCTGGCCGCCGACGTCCCAGATCTTCAGGTACATGTCCGGCAGGGTGATGGTCGAGACATTCTGGCCGACGGTCGGGACGGTCTTGAGCTTCGGGTCCGGGTGCGAGGGCAGGAAGAACGACTTGACCTGCTCGTGGAAGGTGGTCTTGCCGGCGTTGTCGAGGCCGAGGAGGATGACGGAGTACTCTGCGCAAAGGGAACAGGTTAGCGAGAGCCGGCCAGACGACGTGTCGTTTCATGTGCGCGAACCTTCTTTACTGGTGGCCAAGAGGTAGAGGCCCTTTGCGAGGTGGTACATGGTGGGCAGCGGTCGCTTGCGGACAAGCTCGTCGCGCGGTCGTGGGCTGGCGGGGCGGCGTGGCAGGTTATCGGCGACGGGAGCTTCGTTGGCGGCGCAGGGCGGGATGGGGACGATGGAGGTGAGGTGGATGGAGCTTACCGTCCACGACGGGACGGGAGCTGGCGCTGGAGCTTGGTTGTCCTCCGGCGCTGACACGCTGTCCGTAGCGCCGTCAGTGGGGGCAGTGCAGGGGTTTCAGGGGACTTTGCGTTGGTGGCTCTTCAGCCCTATGCCGCTGTCATGCGTGAGAACCCGGAGAGTCGACTGATTTAAATCTCCGCATGTTCTGATCGTCGGATGCGTGTTCGAAGCTTCAACAACAGTTCTCTGCCCCGTTGTTGAAGCTTTGGCTTGCAGATCAGGTCATTTTTCTCGAGCGGCTAACGCTTGCCAGGAACGTAGTCGCTGACTGCTCGACATCAGCCAGCTTTCTTCTCCGCACCGTCGTCTTCGCCGTCTACGCCCGTCTTCTGAACCCGAACTGTCTCAAAATGTCACCATCACACAACATTCACGATACATCTCATCATGTAGGTGTCATTGCGTCACACATACACTTTCACGTCTATTCATCCAGTTCTATCCGTCGTCTATGCTCGCTACAACCCCGCCGGCGCCCACATCACACCCTTACATCTTAGGGATGGTGGTTGCGTATCCCTCAATCACCGCAGTCATCAAACGGTTGGCAATGGCCGTGGGGGGAGGCAGACGGAGGCTGCCCTCCTTGTATCCCTCGGGCGCCGCCTCTCCCAGGCCGCTCACGCCGGTCTTGAGCGCTTCCCTCACAGTCTCGAAAGGAAACCACTGAGCATCCTCGAGCTCAGGGTCGTTTCCGAGGTCAATGGTCTCGCCGTCAGGAAGGGCCTGGGCGATGGCACCAATCATCAAGCTGGCAGGGTACGGCCACGGCTGGCTCGAGTGGATGACGACTCTGCCAACTCTCACGCCGCTCTCCTCCAATACCTCGCGGCGGACAGATTCCTCGATGGACTCGCCCGGCTCGATGAAGCCCGCGAGGGTGCTGTACCAGTGGGGAGGCCACCTCTTCTGGCGACCAAGGAGCACCTTCTGGCCGTCGGCAGAGACGACGGCGGCGATCATGGTCGGGTCTGTCCTGGGGAAGCTGATGTTGGAGACACCGCCGCGCGTGGGGCATTCAGGCCTGTCAAGCGCAGCCCCAGTTCCAGCAAGATCCGTGGGAGGACACAGGCGCTTGTAACCAGTGTTCCCTGACAGTGTGGTTTGCCCGCAGCCCGCGCAGAACTTGTTGCGGGAGTTCCAGTCGGCAAGCGACCTGGCCTGGGCGTAGATGCCGGCTAGTGTGCGTTAGCGTATGGAGACTGTGTTGGTTCTCACGATGACCTACCAGCATCCGGCTCGAGAGTAATATGCCTGGTACCCTGGAGGAAGTTGTTGCCCTTGGCAGACTGGGCCTCGATGAGCTGGTTGGCAGCCTCTGCGTACGGGCCTTTGGGGGTCACGTCAACGGCGAACCAAGGACGGCCCTGGAGACCCTTGTACTCAAACGGGACCTTGGCGCCCTCCTCCAAGCCGAGGAAGATGATGAGTGGGCGGGAGACGGAGGAGTCGTAGTTCTTGATAAGGTCCTCTTCGGAAGGCCCAAAGGGGTCCTCCGAGGTCACAGACTTGACATCGTCGAAAGACACAAATGCGAGTTTTGAGGGGGCGCTGGTCAAAGGGCTGAGGTCCTTGAGGAGCATGAAGTTGGTCTCCTTGGCCTGGAACGCGGATCTGATAAAGGTGTGGTCGGTCCGCAGCCAGCCAACACGGTTCAGGGCGCTGCCGGCGAAGTAGTTGACGGTCTCCCGTCCGAACTTCCGGGACAGCATCGAGTCGGGGTGGTCGACGGGTGCAGGGAGATTGGGGATCTGAGAACCCATGCCGAGGTTGGTTGGGCAGCGGTGAAGCTATCGCGGGATTTCCGGGTGCGTGTGCGTGACAGTCGTCGCCGATGCAGGAGACAATGTGGGTGGCTTGAGCTCTCGGGACCAAGATAAGTGATTATGGCTGGAGCCTGTCAAGCAATCACTTGGAGTGTTCCTGGAGATGCAAATATTCAAGACGTGTAGTGGCGGCGGGCTGTCCCGGCTGATTAATCAGATGTAAGAGACACGGATGGCGGGGACGCAACGCGATGGAGCCGTGACGGTGAATCACGACTCGCCGCCTGAGCTCCGATAAATGGAGCTTCCGGAGATCCCCTGTGGGAGCAGAGCAGCCGTGCAGGAGCAGGCCATCGACTGGTCATTACCTGCCCGCCCTAGGCAGGTAGGTATTAGGTGTGTAGGTAGGTACCCGGAGTTGTCGCGGCATTCGGCCTGACACCCGCCAGCGACGGACGCCAACACTGCCCGACGCATCAGGTCCAACTCTGTTGCAAGAAGCCAGACACATTGCGAGCCTTTTTTCCAGTGGAAGAGACCCCGGCATGAGCTGGTGACAGAGGGACGGCGCTCCAATGGCAGCCCGCGACAAGTCAGATGTCAAGTGAGATGAGGTGCTTAAGCTTATCTCCACTCCGACTTGGCCCCCGAAATCGCCCAGAAAATCGAGGTCCGGTGGATTGGGGGATCTTGCCGAGGCGAAAATTCCGATTTCTTAGTCATCGCCCACCGCCCACCGCCCATCCCAGTCCAGCACTGGAGGACGAGCTGAGTGCACTGAATTCCTGCACAGCAGCACCTGGTAAAAGTGGGCGTTTCAGCGCGTCTTAGCGTCTCTTCCCCCGCATTTTGGCGACCCTTTCCGGCGACAGCGGGCAATAGCGGTGACGTCGTGGCACCTCGCTAAGCTGCAGCTGGCGAAATACCTGCTGGCGCACGTGTCCGCCGATGGCGCGAGCGAGCGCCGAAGCGGAAGTGGGAGCAGCTTTCCAAATTTTCGACTCATTTTCGCAATTGTCTTGTCCATGGAAAAGTCTTTCCACTCGACATTGCCAGGATTTGTAGGAGGACACCCCTTTTTTTTGCTATTGCCGTTCCTAATATCGAGTCGGCAATTCCTTTACTAGACTAATTGATCATTTCTCTTCCTTTCCCAGGATCTTTTCTTCTTCTCCTTTCTTTCCTCATATCGTTGTCTCCTTTGTGGTACCACTTTGTCGCATCACGCCTCCGACCTGCGCATCACCATGGCTCCCCCTACCGAGCCTCTCAACCTCGATGTTGAGGCCATTTCTGGCATTTGCGGGTAAGTTTGAACACGTTCGCCTGCACAATCTACAGCCTCTGACCTGATTGCGTCTAGCTCCATCTCAATTGCGTGCTGGGTTGTGGTCTTCTCCCCCCAGATCCTCGAAAACTTCCGTCGCGGCAGTGCCGACGGTCTGTCGCTGCAGTTCATCATTGTCTGGCTGGCTGGCGATGTCTTCAACATCCTGGGCGCCGTCCTTCAGGGCGTTCTCCCGACCATGGTGAGTCACGGCCCATGCATGCCTCAAGCATCGATGACCCTGGCTAACGCTATGACTCCTTGCCCAGATCATCCTCGCCATCTACTACACGATTGCCGACATGGTTCTGCTGGGACAATGCTTCTACTACCGCGGCTTCACCTGGAAGGACGAGGTGGTTCCCCCGACCCCGAAGCCGCGCAACCGCACCGGCGAGCCGAACGAGCGGACCGGCCTCCTGCCCGCGTCGGCGATCGAGCGTGAGCGCCGAGGCTCCGACTGGTCCCATCTCTCCCCTGCCGTGCCAATGCGCCCCGAATCCGCGCCCGCTCCCCCGCCGAGGCCCTCGACCGTCCTGCAGGCGATTGCCTGGAACACCACCGCCATCATCATGGTTTGCGCCGCCGGCGTCCTCGGCTGGTTCCTCAGCCGCGGGTACTCCGACAAGGAGCCCGAACACAGCAACAGTGACGAAGACTCCCTGGAGTTCAACACCCTCGGCCAGATCTTTGGCTGGCTCTGCGCCGTCCTGTACCTCGGCTCCCGCCTGCCGCAGCTCCTTCTCAACTACCGCCGCAAGTCCACCGAGGGCGTCAGCATGCTCTTCTTCCTCTTTGCCTGCCTCGGTAACCTGACCTACGTGCTGAGCATCTTTGCCTTTGAGCCCCACTGCAAGAACGAGTGCTCCCCGTCCGAGGCGAACCGCATCTACGGCCGCTACATGCTGGTCAACCTCAGCTGGTTGGCCGGCAGCTTGGGCACCCTGTTCCTCGACATGGGCATCTTCGCGCAGTACTTCATGTACCGCACCGACGGCGAGCTCAGCGACATTGAGGAGGAAGATGACGAGAGCATCGATGAGGATCGCTGGGACCAGCGACCGCTACTCGCGCGTGGTGACTCGTCATACCCCTAGACGAGCCACATCCCTGATATTTAATTGTTTTTAGAGTACTGCATATACGGAAGTAATCTTGGCGCATTTTGAAAAGGAAAGGGGGGCAATCGTTTTACAAAAGAAGTCTTGCATTGTGGGGTTACAATCGGCGCAACAAAAATGGTCATCACATCTGGAAAATAAAACGGGACAGGTCCGCAGAGGTAGATCATTTGACATAGATCATCTGATGACTGCTCTAGAAAAGAATTGAATTCAGCTTGCATACTTATTCACCAATCCCTTCTACAACCACCCGATCCTCTTCCAGAAGAAGCTCGCTCCGCCCATGAGAGCAGTCACGCCCGTGAAGATGATCAAGGTGCCATACCCGCTGCCGTACCCATGCGCCAGCTCGCCCTTCCACGGGGAACCACTGATCAAGGCCTCGCTCAGCGGTCCCGAGATGACGTTGCCGATGCCGCGCCCGGCAGCCAACATGCCAAATACCATGCTCGAGTCAACGCCGCGCTCCTTTTCGCGTTCGTGGTCGGTGACCTGCTTCATAATGCCAGGCCATGCGGAAGTATACGCGCCAGCAAAGAGCCCGTACACGACGCAGAAGAGGTACAGCACGCCCAGGCTGGACGAGAAGCCCCAGATGAGGAACGTGCCGAGCGCGGCGCCCACGCTGGCGAGCATGATGCACGACGGGGCCGAGAAGCGGTCGACGAGCGAGCCCATGCCGATGCAGCCGAACACGGAGGCGACGTTGACGAGGAGCAGCGTCAGTGCGGACGGGAAGGCCGAGGCGCCGAGCGAGCTCTGGGCGTACATGGGCAGGTAGATGCCCGGGAGGAAGAAGCCCAGCGCCTCGACGATGTTGGCGAGCTGGTGCAGCACAAAGGGGCGGCTCAGCATGAACTTGAGGTTCCTAAAGGGCGCGGCGTGGATGGGCGAGAGCGACATCTGCGAGACGGGCAGGCGCGGCTTGATGAAGAAGGCGAGGGGCGCGGTGAGGCCGAAGAGGACGCCGGACCAGATGCGCAGCGTCGTGCGGAAGCCCACGGTGCCGAGGAGGTACTCCAGCAGGAGGGGGATGATGACGCCGCCGAGGCCGGTGCCGGACCACATGACGCCGTAGGCGAAGCCCTTGCGGCGGACGAACCACTGGTCCATGTAGAGGATGCAGGGCAGGTAGGCGATGGAGCCGCCGACGGCGTAGAAGATGCCCTGGGTCACGATGAGGTGGGGGACGGTCTGGGAGAAGGAGGACATGGCGAGGGCGATGCACATGATGAAGAGGCCCACGATGGGTGCGTGGCGGCTCTGGTGGGGGAAGAGGCGGAGGAGGCCGATCACGAGGAAGCCCGAGAGGTACATGATTCCCTGGGGAGGTTAGTGTCTGGGTAATTCGGGATTCGTCGGATTCATACCATGGCGCAGGTGCCAATGACGGCGATGTTTGGTTGTCCGGCGAAGGGCGCGTTGGTGGAATAGTAGTTTTGGAAGACACCAAAGGCGAAGGGAAAGCCCCATACGAGCACCTCGATGGCGAAGCACGCGGCAAGGAAAAGCCACGCCTGCTTGCCGCCGTCGACGGGAGGGAGCGAATCGAATTCCTGGCTGGAGTGGTGGTTGTCTTGGACGTTGTCGTCGATGCCGGAGCCAGACTCGGAGCTCTCTGCGGCGTACGGATCCCGAAGAGGCGGGGTCGCGGCCGGGGGAGGTGCCGTCGGGGCCGGGCCAGCCCCGACGCGGAGGTGTCTCAGCTCGGTTTCTGAGGTTGACATTGCTTCCAAATCTTCTGGCGGCGTCACTTGCAAAGACTTTGTTGTCAATTGGCAAGTTGGAGAAGTGCTGCAGAGTTGATCGGGAGCCGTTCCGGTGGGAGCTTTAAAGTCTGAAGGGTTGCAGAGGTAGCGGGGATCGGCTCGGATTGGGTGTCCACACTGCGCCCTCCGCTTGACGGCTGTTGATCCCTTGACTGGGGTTCAGCCAACCGAGGGCGCGCGCTAATCCCACTGCATCAGATTTTAGGGGTCTTGTTGGTGTTAAGGGTGCATGCGGCCAAGATTTTCAGGTCGGATTCCTCTGGCCGCTCTTTGCTCTCTCTAGAAGGATTGTTCGAAGTGCATGTAAGCAGTGTCGCCGGTGCACCTGACCGGAGACATCGCCCAGTCTACCGGGTCCGACTCCGGTTTCGGACCCACTCGGTCCGTAGCATGCGGCACCGGCCTACCTTACCTATTGCACTGCAGCAGCACGCACGAGACGCTCGCGGAGCTGCAGTCTGGTGCAGGCATCATTCATTCGAAATGCCGCCTGTCGCATGCTTCTTCACGTGGGCGATCGGCCAGTCTTGATTTGACCCGACTTGCTCGCTCAACTTGTGCAAGTCCCGGCAATCTACGTACGACATCTACAAGCAGTTTTGGGAAGGTGTCATTTCTTCGAATCTGGATACTATTCTGGCTCGAACCACATCAAACCGCATCATTCTCAATCTCGACTTTATTGGATCCTCCATCTGAAGTCAGCGGTTTCGAATTGAATCCTTCCCTTAACCCCGACGAAAGCCGCTCAAACTCCAAACACGTCGCTTCCAAGTCGAGCAACAGATTGTCTCTCTTGAATCGCCCACTAAGGGCTGAAGAATATTCTGGGCGCCGCAACCCTGCAGCCCGTAATACCACGTCAGATCGCCCATCATTGTAAGCGGCGATCGCTCGGATTCGGGCCCAGAAGAAGGAAAAAAGAACCCGTCAATAACCCGATCATTGGTCGGCAGACCGAGTCAGCCCATGGCGGGTTACTGGGATCTCTTTACTTTAACTGCCACCGAACAGCACCCTTTCTTAGCATATCCGTCAACCAAGTATGCCGCGTCACTATTAGCATCTTAATGAATGTGAACTAGTAAGCCTCAAAATAGCCCTTTAGTTGCATTCTCACAAACTCCTCCTGCAGCCAACATCAACCGTCTCATCTTCCACTCTCACTGTCGCATGAATCCATTCAGGACAGGCGCTGAAAGGCATCTTCGTCCCAAGAAGTGATGTCAAGGCAGGAACAGACTTTTCCTTCCGACGCAACCTTCCCACCGTCTGTCACTACTCAGTGCCAACCGCATGCCTGCGTTTGGAGTCACCCCTCGCTGAGGTCATTCCCCCCCCCACCACGTACACCACCCCAAGGATCCCCCACCATCCACGACAGCAGGCACACCACGAGGTCAGGCGAAGGAGCCTTGTCTCGCACCGCCGCCCACGACTCGACGAAGGGATATCCCGAGCTCGCGTCACGCTGCCAGCCGCTTCACCTTCCCATCCCAAGGTGAACAGCCCTCGGCTGGCGGCCGAACAGCTTCTGCGGTAGTCCTCAAACCCGCAGCAAACACCGGAACGCGCAGCACGACCTGCAAGTGCCGCCTGATGCAAGCCCGGTCCATCCTTGCACCTTTTCCTTTGAAATCCGTGTATTCACACAACGGATGTCGTACCAGCACCCCGGTCTTGCACTCTTTTTCGGACCACTCGTCTGGCTCGGATTAAGTTGCCCTGAGCTTTAATTCTCTTTTTCCAGGCCAAGGCTTTCTTCCAGCTGCAGCCAGTCTGCCTTCCGTTATGCAGGTGGGGGCCCAGAGAGACCCCCGGACCTGGCGAGGGCGGCGCGCGGTCCACGGTTTCTGATTGTTCTACGGCCTGGTCTTCGAATCTTCTGCTCATTAATAAAAAGGATTTCCCGCACGTCCTCGTGTTTGGTCTGAGGTTTTCCTTTCCTCTTTTTCTTGTTGTGCCTGAACCTTCGATCCGTGTTTCCAACGTTACATCGACACCTTTGGTTTCGAAGCTGAAAGAATTCCCGGCCCTCTTCTGTCTGAGTCGACGCGACGACATACAATACCCGGCGGTGCCCATCAATCGAAGAACTTGAATACTCGAGGACGAAATAGTTTCACTCTGTGTAATACGTAATTTTCGAAATGTCGGGGGCGGTCGAGTACAACCAAATGCCAAGGGAGCCTGCGCCGGCGATGATTGTGGAGCCGAACCATTCCGAACAACCCGTGAGTTCCGCCGTCGCCCACGATTTCCAGTTTCTGGACTTGAATGAGCTCTTCGCCACTCAGTTGAGATATCACGCGAGATCCCACGCTGACGGTTTTCACCAGCGCCTGGTAGAGCCTATGAAGATGGAACAGTCAACGTCCCTACGAGGCGGTAAAGCAGACGGCGGAGTAAGCAAAGCCCTCCAGCTCCCAACCCATGATTCTCCTCATCAACTTCCCCAAACTTGACCACGTCTTGTAAAAGTCCTGTCGTTTTCGCAAACCACATCGACGCCCTCAAGTCGCGCGTAGGTTCGGGGAGGCTGATGCTCGAGACTCACCATTGGAATCTCAAACAGCTAACAAACAACTCTCACCTGCTGCAGGCCATTTGCTGCGGTATCTGCGCTGGCCTCTGCTGCTTCGAATGCCTCGAGTGTTGCTGCTGCTGCTGTTAGTCGATTTCAGCGGCGGCCCGATCAGATGTTACAACGAGGCACCGACCGGCTGCTCCTCATTCTTTCATTCTTGTAGATCGAATATCCGAGTCGGCGTCGACGAACACGAAGCGGCCGCTCTTGAACCCCCAATCCGCGCAAGCGGTGGGCGACTCGTATGAGGACTTATGAATTTCACGGACGGAAAGGAACGGGCGCATTTGCACATATACCAAGGCCATGAGTTTTTTCATGAGCCACCAAGATCATGTATAAATCTTTAGAACATCTTCTAAACAATTGTATTTGGGTATTTCAAGCTTTCTTCACGGTGCGCATCATCCATGGCTGCCCGCTCGGCTTCTTGTGTGTCTTCTCGAACCTCGGCGCGGAGGTGGTGGTAGTACACGGCGTCTATCCTGTCAAACGCTTGCTTGACTCTAAGTGAGGAGACTCTCGTCTAGATCGTTCGTCTATCGCCATCTTTTGTTTGCATCTTGACTTCGTAGCTTCTTACAACTTGGCGCGGGGCTCCTCAGGGCTGGCAAGGTGTTAGCTTACAGTCGAATTCAAGTAAAAAGAAAAGTCAAGGAAGACTTACGCAGCAATCTTCTCAGTTGCCTTCATGATAGCACCGCCAAGGGCTGGGTTGACCTTGGAGAACATTTCATAGGTGGCCGAGCGGACCTCGGGGACGGCACCAGCGAGCGCGCCAGAGATGTTGTTGACAAAGTTTTCCTGCTGGCCGGGAGTGCGGCCGAGGACCTTCCAGAGGCCGTTGGCCTGCTCGTAGTCGTCTGCGGTGATGGGGCCGAAGAGATCCTCGACGACCTTACCGGCCCACTGCTCGTGAGAGCCGGCGGCCTTGACAGGCGCGTAGTTAAGGGGGCGGAAAGTGGAAGGGTAGTTCTGGGTTGAGGTCAACAAAACTGAGATGATGAGCAAGCACTTGACTCTGAACTTACAGGGTTGGCACCGTAGTTGCCGTTGACAGCCATAGCTCCGTCTCTCTGGAAGGGGTTGAAGGCGTTGAGAGGTTGGTTGACGGGAATCTGCTGGTAGTTGACACCGAGACGGTGGCGGTGGGTATCGGGGTAGGAAAACAAACGACCCTGAAGAACAGGATCGGCGGAGGGCTCAACACCGGGAACTAAGTGAGAGGGGGAGAAGGCAACCTGCTCGATCTCGGCGAAGTAGTTCTCGGGGTTCTTGTTGAGGGTGAGCTTGCCGAAGGGCCTCAGGGGGACCTCGCTCTGAGGCCAGACCTTTGTCAGGTCAAAGACGTTCCACTTGAACTTCTCAGCCTGCTCAGGTGTCAGAGTCTGGACGTAGACAGTCCAGCTGGGGTGGTCGCCCTTCTGGATAGACTCGAACAGGTCCTGGGTGTGCCAGTCGGGGTTCTCAGAAGCCATCTTTCCAGCCTCCTCGTTGGTGAAAGTCTTGTTTCCTTGGTCGGTCTTCAAGTGAATCTGAACGTAAACGAAGGAGCCATCGGGCTTGGTCCACTTGTGCGTGTGACCAGAGTAACCATTCATGTGTCTGTACGAGTAAGGAGTTCCACGATCAGAGAACAAATGCATCAACTGATGGACGCATTCGTGATGAGTTGACCAGTAGTTAAACGAAAATCCAAGTTAGTTTTACTGTATTTCAAGTCCGGAATCAATTGCTTACCATCTGGTTGAGTTAGCAAAGTCGTAATGCGAGTTGTGGTGTTGAGACTTACCATGGTGGCATCCTTCAGGTTAGTTTGCGGGTGGCGTTTCTGGGTGTGAATGAAAACCTAAAAATGGTAAGAATAATGCCGAGAGGACCAATTCATCAATTGCAATTACCGGGAAAAGACTCGGGTCGCGGAGGAAGAAGATGGGAGTGTTGTTGTAGACCCAGTCCCAGTTGCCCTCCTCGGTGTAGAACTTAATGGCGAAACCGCGGGGGTCGCGCGCAGAGTCGGCAGAACCCTTCTCTCCGCCGACGGTAGAGAAACGGACGACGGCCTTTGTCTTCTTGCCGACCTGGTTGAGCATGTTGATCGAGGTGATGTCGCTGATGTCGTGGGTGACCTCGAACTGTTGTCGCATGTCAGTGTCTCGCCTTCAGAGACCGCCCGCTGTTCCGCCATACCTCGCCATAAGCACCGGCACCCTTGGCGTGCACGACACGCTCGGGAATGCGCTCGCGGTCAAAGTGAGCAAGAAGATCGATCAGGTGGAAGTCCTGGAGCAGGAGAGGTCCGTTGGGACCGGGACGCTGCCAGTGCTGGGGGTTCTGGACCGGCGCGCCATTGGAGGTGGTGTAAGTCGGCTTCTCGTTGTACCGGTAGGTGGAAGGGGGCTTCTCGTCGGATCCCATTGTGTCGGCTGTCTCTCGAATCGAGGATGAGACTATGGGGGTTCGGATGCGGGAGGGCGGGTTGGAGGGTTACACTGCTAGAGTGTTGTTGCTTAGCTACTTGAGTCCAAGTTGGATATCAAGAAACAGAAGCGGCAATTGGCAATTCAGATCAAAAAAAGATCAAAGAGGATCTTCAGGGGTCCAGCGGGAGGGAAGGGGAAACATAAATACTTTCAAAGGCTGCGCGCAGAGAAAAAGAAATGCCCCCGGGCAATCCATCCAGCTTGCGATGGGGGCCTCACCTCGGCCCCTCCCCATCATGCTCCAGTTTCTCTCCTTCTCTCCCCCCATTTCTTTCGGTTTTTGGGGACCTCTCCCACTCAGGGCGCTCAAGTTACGAAGCAGAAGCCAGGGCACGACATGCGTCGACCGGCAGGGATGCCATCAGATTTGAGAAGCTCCGGCACGACACGGCCAATGGAATGTCACATAAATGCAAGCTTGGGGTGTTGAGATCCACACGAAGCTCCATTTCGAGGTTTCCTAGCGCTCTTCGGCCCCCTTGTCGCTCCACCCGTGGCTTTCGCTGAGTTGTGTCTAAACGATTCAGCAGCAAGACGGTCGGCTATCTTTCTGTCTGTTTTCCAACATGATGTAGAATTCAACCTCGGCTCACCTCTTGCCCGCCGAGCGACGTCTTTAGACGCACGTAGCCGCGTCTCTTGCGTTAAAGAGCTCACAGGCAACGCTGTGCCGTCGGGAGACACCAGCACATCCGGCAAGGGTCAGCAGTGATATATGCTTGTGAGACGGGACATGCGCTCATCCTCGGCTCACACACGTCGCCTGGCCCCTCCGACAACGGCATGGTCCCACAGCGACCTGCCAAGTTGTCTTCTGCTGCCGGGTACACCAGTCATGTCCCGGTGCTGCTGACCTCCCCAGATGTTGCGGGGGAGACGCTCTGCACCGGGACGGTTGTCGTCAAGTTGGAGAGGTTCCAGCCTCTTGAGCGATGCGGAGAAAACTCGCTGAGACGGACGACTGCCAACATGGATTTGGCCGGTACAGCATGTCGCCTGTGACCAACGAGTTTGGTCCTACGGATCCATCAGACCACCCGTATGCACCTCGACGGTTAGGCTAGCTTTGCGCCTGTCCAGAAATCCCGACTAGACGTCTGAAGAGGAAAAGATGTTGCAAGTCGAGCAGCGCGCCAATCGGCTGTGCGCGACGAGGTTCATGCCTGTATGCCTCCAGACTACGCTTGACATTCAAACACCATCGGCCTTTGGATGAACCACGCAGACGACATCCAATGTGAGTGAAGCTCTCCGTTGCCCGACAAGTCAGCCGTCCTTCATGCTATGTGCGAATTTCTGTTCCTGTTCCAGACCCGAGCCAGTGGCAGCGGGATTCCCACATCGTGTATTTTACCTAAATCGGGAAAAATGCAGGAGAGCAAATGACATCATTGGTCAAAGACGGGCAGGCCTCGCCGGGAAGCGTCCTATCGCGATGGCCTTCCCTGTCCCCGGAGTGGAGCGGGAGACGGCAATCCTGCGCACACCGCCGAGCTCACGACATGTTTGGGTGGCTTACCACGCAGCAGAGTCGCGTCCAGCCTCGACGTTTTCCCATTGCCGGAAAGGGAGAAAGTGGCAGCTCGCGTTCTCACATGATCGGCCTTCGGTTCGCATTCCGCTACGGCCGGCTGGCGTTCCGACCGCTGCTGCGCCGAGACCGCCGAGATTTTGGCTCGCATCTCGGTGATATCCCGGAGGTCTCCGGACTTTGGCACCCAACCTTTGATGTGCGGCTTTTGCATCGATGGAAGATTTCCGTGCGAAGCGTAAAGCGAAACCAAAGTTAAAATGCCAACGGGCCCGAAAGACTCAAGTTATCAAGACTAAGCATATCGGGAGAACCCGACTTTTAAATGGAGAGATGGCTTGTTCCGGGGGCACTCCACCATTGTTGGTGGAGGAGCCACGGAATGGCTCGGTCGAACGCGGAAAGATGCCGAGCCCTGTATGTGTGGCGTTCCGAAGCTGCCTGTCAGCCAAGAGATACCAAACATGGAGAAGCTCGATACGTTAGAATCTCTAATAATTGTCAATTGCTGTCTGTTGTCCCTCTTTCTTCTTGAATCGGGGAGCGCCAGCTACATCTCCCTCGCATGTGAGGGCCTTCAAAGGCAAAGGAATCACACATAGAGGGCGTGGGGATGCAGCGTTTGTTACCAAAGATGAGTTTCACGCTTGTCAAAGTCACCGTCTTTTCACTCCTTTTGCGGAAGTCTTCCTCTTCAAATGGAGCATAGGAGTTGGCAGATCAACTAGTATCTATCATCGACGACTTCCATTTCCTCTGCCTGTCTCTATCCGCCCATCTTGTACCTCGTTCTCTGCACCAAGTTTGCTTCTGCCAGACTCCTGAGACCCTGTCAGGCAGAAGCTGGCTGTTTCCGAGGTTGACGTTCATCTTGACATCGCGCAGCAACGGCCGTGGCCCAAGACCGAAATTCGCCGAAGAGATCGGTCAGAGTCAGGCGGGCTGGGAACCTCATTCTTCGTTGTTCAGCTTCAGCTTCAGGTTGGAGGCGGTCGTGATTTCTTGAATCTGGGCGTTGTGCATCTGGCTCATCGTCATGGTCGTCTTGCAGAACATTAGTTGAGTGACATGCAAAGTCAAGGTCATGCGTACACACACAATTTCTTGCCGATCTCACGATCGATAGCACTCCGACCGCCGCGCGCTCGCTCCAGAACAACCTTAGCGTCGGCAAGAACCTCCCCCAGCTGAGCTCGCTGAACAGCCGTGAGATCGTTGTTGAGGATAGCCTCGTAAATGTCCACAGACTAGGCTCCAGGAGACGACGAACAAGTTCAGAGATGTCCCTGTATCCTTCAATGAAGACCGACAAAGCTAACACGTCCCTCGGAGTTGCTTCAAAGGACGAATACCACAAAGTTTGTAACCAATGCTACTAGCGGTCTCTTGGACATTTTAAAAAGCTTTCCCATTGTGCCTTCGCATCCTATCGTGAGGGCCTCTCTCTATCTTTCGTGCATGTTGCATTCTGTTCAAACCGGTCCTCGAACTGAGAGTGATCAGAGATGTCCCGCCAACCCTGCGTCAGTCAGTCAGTCAAGAGGACCTGGAAATGAGAGATACAATCGTTGGGCCCTAACGTCACCCCAAAGGACGCATACATCATTCTTGCCGCAGACAACACGGGCACGAGCTTGAAGATTCTTACTCACGGAATGACAGAAAATGCCGCGCAATGCTCTGCAGACAACCGGTGACAGATCCGCATTGCGTCCCCTTAGTGGACAGGGTCCATACTGGATCTGGCAATCCATGGGTTCTGGGGACGACGCAGCCCACGGCCCCGGAAGGTCGATTGCAGTAGTTGGTTTTGCATTTTCAACATCAGGCAATGAATCAAGCCTATCGGTTACTTCTCACAAGTCCCGGCCTGCCTCCCCTCTTGGCAAACTTGGCTCTGGGGTGCCACGGGCAGGCTTCGTCCTTCAAGACCATGCTTGTCGGGAACAACTGTCCAACGGCACTACCCCAGATGATGAGCATTATACAAGAAATAGGACAAGCTTGAGTTGACACGAGGTGGGCAGGTGGAATTTGGCAAACATGGCAAACCCTCCGTGTTGGAGGAGAAACGTCACACCCGCACCCGACCCGGCTCCGATGTGTACGTTGAAGGGAAGTTATCTGAGCAAACATTAGTGCATCACATTTGGCTGAGGGAGTTAATCACGGCAAAAGCTGACTGAGAATAAAAGAGGTCATGCTCAAGACCACTTCGAGGGTTTCTTGCAATGCTTTGTGCACTTCGTTTACTATCACAGCGCCTTCAGCTTTGTGCAGCTCTGACTCCTAAAATGCTTCTCATCACAGCTCTTATCAGCGCTTCATTCTTCCTACCGGCATCGGCAGCACCAGGAGCCGAGCTTCTGCCCGCTTCCCAGATCACCGAACGCCAGGACGACGAGAAATGTGAGGGGGGACTCAAACCGTGCATGAGAGGATGCATCGCCAAGACCGAGATATGTTGCGCCGACCCTGAGAGAGACGAGCCTTGGAGCTGCAAAGTGGGCGAGATTTGCGGCACCTCTCCTAAATTCGGTTGCTCGAAACCCAGAACGACCACGGCGTCTTTGACCCTTTCAGCCACTGCGACCTCCGCCTTGAGCCCCGGCGATCCCGACCTCGGCCCTTCTCTAACTATCTCAAGCCCATTCTATCCATCGGAGACGACATCAAACGGGAGAAACAAGATGCCGGGATCGACCTCTGTAGCCTCGTCACCAACACGTCAGACGTGCTCCTTTGAGATGGCGGCAGTCGGACCGTACGCCAGCACTAGTACCAACACACCGGAGGAGGGGTGCCCGGGTGCTCTTACATCTTCTGCCGACTACGGCGCCTCGGGGGCGGCTGTCAGAGTCGAGTCCTTGTTCATTATGGCGGCGATGGGAGCTGCAGTAGTCGCATTGGTGGGTGGGCTGGCTTGAGTTGTGTAGTGTGGTAAGGACGGTACACGTCAGAGTGGAGGATGGAAAAGAAAGACATGACGGATTATGAAGTTGGGAGAGTCTTGCTAGCCAGGCAGTATTAGTTGGCCATCCGGGCAGCGTCTACCACACGCGTGTAATCCGTATATTCTACCGAGACCCCCTAGTTTCCCTAAGCTCAAACGACTACGTTTCCTACATATTCACTTTGGTTGTCGCTATCGTCGCCGCTATCGTCATCACTATCGCCATTATTGCTGTTGTCCTTATTACTTCTAATCGCCTATGTTCTCGTCGTCGCCTACTGTCGTCGTCTGTCGTCGTCTGTCGTCGTCTACCGTCGTCTACCGTCGTCTACCATCGTCGTCTGTCGTCGTCTACCGTCGTCTACCATCGTCGTCTACCGTCGTCTACCATCGTCGTTATTACTATCCCTTCCACTACCTTCCAAGTTGCCTCCATTCTATGGCGTCGCCACTGCATCCGCCGCGGTCCTTCTGTTTTGAGAAGTTGACCGGAAGAGAAGCCGCTTGGTTAAATGCAGCTCGAGGTTATTGCCTCGCCGAAAGCGACAAGAAGGTGGGATTAAAAATGATACGGGGCAGGCGGGTGATGGGATCGACCGTGAAGGTCGGGTTGAAGCGCATTTCGAGAGGTACTTGCCCTCGGCCACGACTTAAACCCAGCCAACGGGCAAGTGCTTCACAGTCTCAACTTCCATCATGCAGGCGTGACCAGTCGTTGTGTTTACCTTCCACCGCCCGAAGCGTCCCCGGAGGTCTTCCTTATAAGCCCATGTTAACGTCAGTCATCTGCTCATCTTCCCATCTTCATCCCAACAACTTCTTGGCTACATCAATTCCAGTACAAGATATAACGTCCCACCACACCGATATTGCAGGCAGACATAGCAAACGCAGAAAACATGGCCAACCAACCTCCAAGGCTCCGAAGTGGTATCATGTACAGATTCCACCCTTACCAAGTCCCGACGACGAATTACGGAAGAGCTGAGTACAGTTCGGAAGACGTCGAACAGTGTGAGTTGAAAGTCCACATCCCGACATCGTCAACAACAGATGCTTATTAGGCATACAGGGGCGGCCGCATTACATTTTCACCACTCCAGTTTTCGACAAGAAGCGAAACACCTGGCCGTTGATCTTAGCCAAGCCTGCACCGATGTTTTGCAGCGCGGCGTGTCCGACAACATGAGCCGAGCTCGCGCCCAAGCATTGCAAGTCAAAGCCAACGAATTCTTGCGACGACTGAATCGCAACGAAGGGTGGATGGCGCAAGAGAAGCAGCAAGCTATGTGAGCATTGCCCTCTGCAGTGGATTTTATACGTACTAATGGTTTCAGCAACACTGGCATGCCACCCGCCTACATGACAATGAGCGTGAAGCACAAAGCAAAGATAGAAATCAACTATCTTCATCGAGTGATTCAAGCGGACCAGGCTTACCTTGCTTCGGGAGGCCCCGGAGTCATCGGTGTCAATACAGGTCTTCAAGGTCCCCGAGGTCCCCGAGGTCCGCAAGGTCTCCAAGGCCCCAAAGGACGCAGAGGCCGCAGAGGACGCCCAGGCAGAGACCTCACAGGTCCCAGAGGTCCTGGGGGCGGGAACGATGAAAACCCTGGAGACGATGGAGGCAACGGAGGCAACGAAGGCAATGGTGGAGGTGGCGGTCACGATGAAGGCAACGACGACGCCAACGACGACGTCAATAACGGGGGCAACGACGACGATGACAACGACGACGATGGCGACGACGACGATGGCGACGACGAGGACGACGATGGAGGCAATGATGGGGGCAATGATGAGGGCTCCGGAGACGATAAAGACGATAGAGACGATGGAGGCGATGGAGGCAACGGTGTCAGTGGTGGGGGCAACACCACAAGCAAAGCCAACGGCAAGGCCACACCCAAAGCCAAAGGAAGCACCACAGCCACAAGACTCACCAGAAGCGCCACCAGAAACGACACCAGAAACAACCCCCAGGGGCCCAACAAACGGCGGAGGCTTGTTGGACACTTCAGCAGCGAGAGCGACGTCGATTTTCTTCCTAGGCTGCCAAAAGGCACCCAAAAACAGTCGTCGTCAAGTGTCTTGAGAGGCAGCTCCGTGCCGGCGATGGATACGCAGGATTTGGACCTGATGATTCAGAATGCGATGTTGTCTGACCAACCGGATTTCAACATGTTCGATGGCGGTCAATCCGTACCCACCACCATGGTGGGAAAACTATGATGGAACCATCTCTTTGGGCTTGAAGAGTAATGGGTGCTGTTGAGAGGGAGCCGATGCAATCGTCTGCACGGCATGACATAGATATCAGACAGAACGCTTCGGTAGAGACCGGCAGGATCAGAACAGAACCAGGGACGCAGTACGACGTCCCCGTGCTGGTATTAGAACGTATAAATAAAACAACGAACCGACTCGAATTGTCTTCATATTTTCCCCGCCTCTGGCCCTCTGATCGCCTCGTGAAATTTGTCTGCGCGACACCTTCATACGACAGTCCGTCCAAGACGCTTGTGACGAGTGAAAACGGCCGTTGAGTGTGCCTTCGCGCTCTGCCTACGCCGTCCCAAAAAGCAGAAACGCCGACAGTTCAAGGTGAGCGTGAGGCTTCGGAGTTACACCTTGCGTGTTCATTGCTCGCAAACGTACAACATACTACAATGCGTAGGTCTACCCACCCAGCGGGGCTTGTATTATAAATCATGAGGGGGCGTTAGGCGTGGGGGTGTTGGAGAGCTTGTTCAATAGCGTCCAAGGGTCGAGGCCAGACCTCTATGACTCTTGGTTGACGGTTTGCTACGAGGAGTTAGTCCATATCGGGCGAAAGAGCACTCGTGGTCATATGGACCAAGGCGGTGCTGAGGGGTGACAACGTACGACAAGCCAATCCATGCCCTCTGTCACACCGCTGCCGTCGACGGCTGAGCATGCCATGATGCTCCAGTTGCGGTCGCGCAGCTCGCCCAGTCGCAGGGCCTCCGAGATCTCGCCCGCACCCTTGGCGCCGGGCTGGTCCTGCTTGTTGGCAAACACGAGCAGGGCCGCGTCCTTGAGCTCCTCCTCGTTGAGCATGGCGCCCAGTTCCTCGGCTGCGGTCTGCAGACGCTCGATATCGGTCGAGTCGACGACGAAGATGACGGCGGCCGTGTTGGCGTAGTAACACCGCCAGTACGGACGGATGCTAGTCTGTCCGCCTAGATCCTACAGGCGCACGCATGCCATGTCAGCCTCGACGTTCGTTATGTGCCAGAAAATCAAAAGGGTTCCTCTCACATACCCAGACATTGAAATTGAGGTTCTTATATGTGACGGACTCGACGTTGAATCCTATCGTGGGGATCGTGGTGACCACCTCGCCAATCTAAACAAGCATAAAGTTAGTGCCGAGCTTCTTTCCCCATGCGCGCGCGCATGTGGATGGGCTGTCATGAGCTCACCTTCAGCCTGTACAACAGTGTCGTCTTTCCTGCGTTATCCTGTGCAAGTCGCCCGCGGTTTGTCAGCCTTGCATCTCTTGCGTTTCGGAGGTCGCTGGCTCCAGGGGTGCCGGCCAACAGCAGCATCAGCAGCGGCGCGGGTGCGGTGCATGCATACCAAGCCCAGGATCAATATCCGGATCTCCTTCTTCGACCACAAGAGGCCGGACAGCCATGACATGCTCGCGCCCATCTTGGCGGTTTGTTGGATGTGTATGTGTCGTTACTTCGTCGGTTGCTGGGGTTGATGTTGCGTTTCGCCGCTGCGACTGCAGAATGTCGCAGTCTTCAAAAAGGTGCGCGGTTGGCCTCGGGTCGTGGTAGGAGAGGTAGGTAGGTAGGCAAGGCGAGGCTTGACAAGCTAAAAGGTGGCTTGTTTCTTCCGATCCAGGGGGGCGACAAGTAACAAGACGGTCGTCCGGGTTATGTACAAAGAAGCAGGAAACAACGACAGCCTGAAAGGACAACTCAGGCACACACACTCCCTCTTCCGGTTTGGTTTCGGCGTCCGTCGTTCGTTTCGTCGTCTCGTCAAGTAAAAGGCAGCAAAAACTTGTTTCTGGTTTCTTTGCAACTCCGCGGCTTTGAGAGATGGGAGACAAAGGACCGTTACAAAAGAATCTCGATGGCCCCTGAAGGTACGGAAAGGGCCCCCTAATTGACAGTTTTTAAGACATGCCCTGCATGGATGGTTAATTCTGGGCGTTCCAACGGGTCCGCGGGCCTGCCACTTCTGGGATCGTCGGCCGCTCGAGCCTATCGGCACGTCAGGGATTATCACATAAGCCGAATTCTGTTAACGCTGCTGCCTGAGGCAAGGAGAAATGACCTTGTACCTGTCGAGAAAGCGTCACTACAATCCTTATCTAATCGAGCTGCAGCCGCTGAGGCTGAGGCGCGCACGCAAGCCTCAAGTCGTGCAGTGACTCCTTCCGAAAAAGCGTGACCGTCTCCACCCGGTGCCCTCCCCGCCAATCAGGGTATTTGCGGGCTCGCCTAACCTAGTGCCTTCTCACACAGAATTTATGATTTTTCGAACCATCAAACCCATCGGAGAACCAACTGCACCCAAAGGACTCGACTACCTTGATCAGCCAACAGCCGTCAAAATGCCGGTACGTGATGACGCCTACTCCCTCCCCGCGACGACGACAATGATGATATTGTGCCCGATCGATTTCTCCGGAGAAATGCGTGGTTCGCGCAGGCCGCGGGCGCGCGGCGCTGGCGGACGGATCGAGGAGGGGCAAATATCATCACCACGACCCGGGGGTCCTCAAACACCACGAAGGGAAGCAGAGCGCTGACATTTGGGAACCATCACAGAGCCACAAGTCTTTCCGCACGAAGCAGAAGCTCGCCAAGGCGCAGAAGCAGAACCGCCCTATCCCCCAATGGATCCGTCTCCGCACTGGTAACACCATTCGGTACGATACACCCTCTGCTGCCGTCTCTGGGGTCGACACGACGACATCCTAGGGCGCGCGCGCGCTCCCCCGACACGACGCAACCGATCTTGACTGACACTGATTCCTACAGCTACAACGCGAAGAGACGCCACTGGCGCAAGACCCGCCTCGGCATCTAAACACCTCGCACCAAATCTCGATTTCCCAAAAATCCGAACCAGTGTGTCTCATCTCGATGGCATCGCCGACCGACATGGAACTTCTACTTGGAATTTCTGGGAGGAGTTAAGACGGACTCTAAATTTCATCGGCAAGAGTCTGATCGTGGGAGTCTTCGGGGTGGAAAATTACGGAGGGAAAATGGATGCCCGGCTCCGGCTAGACACCACGCATTGCATGTTACGGTCATAGGGAAAGGAATGCCAAATCATTTGATGCCTCTGAATGAAGATAACGAGGTCCCACGCCTGCTTCTCCCGCTTCATGGTGTCTGTCGTGTGATGTGGGCTGGGGCAGACTGGTCTTCGAGTTTTTGAAGGTCCCCTGCCTTCATGGGCTTGCTTGGCCATCAGCTTTGGATGGGCTCGGCACTTCTACACGGTAGCACATCTATCATGGGCGACCAACACGGGTCAAAGTGGCCCAAGTAAGGTCCTTGGATCCAGGCTTGTCTAGATTCTATAGATGTCAATTGGGCCTCTCTATCTTGGCTGTGTCGGAGGCCACAATGGTGCCGTAGGAACGCGTGAGCTTCGTTGGTATGTAGATGGCCGGATGGTATTCTCAACGACGACCCACTATCCACTTGCCCATTTCTTCTTGTGCCGATGCCAAAATAGAGACGTCACAATGTGATGAGTCTCTCTGCTGCCGTGAAATCTAGCAGTCAGGTTCGTTCCTCAATCTGGACATATGTAGGATTTAATGACCGCTGAGCAGCAATATGTGGCTGTTCTACTATGGTACCTGTCTCATTGCGAGAACTCTTAAAATGTTGAGCACACAAACGAGCAGCGATCCAGGCATAGTGGTGCATGGAAAAGCCACACTCTCCCACACGGGTACATCCGTCATTTCACGAAATGAGTCAATAGCAATGGTGAAGAGACGGTCTGCCTTGAAATGCTAGCGGTGAAGCAAACTAAAAAGACAACCCACACTACCTTGCGGTCTTCGAATGCGCACTGCGGTGAGTCCTTCCTTCACCAATTCCCGCCCTAAGCAAACCGTGACCCTTGGGTGCCCTTGGAATCGTCGAAAACGCCAGAAAACGATGCATAACACATAAATGGCGGGCACGGGATATCCTATCTAGATGATCCCACCGCTCCCAGGATTTGCTTAACGGTCCTCGGCCCACTCGTTCTCGCGACGGATCTGCTCCTCCTCCTCGGGGGTGAAGTCGTTGGTGATGTTGAAGGTCTTGCGGATCTCCTCAGGAGACTTGCCCTTGATCATGTTGGCGACGGTCTTGCAGCCAACGTCAAGGAGGGGCTTGATGTCGAGGTAGTTGGAGGCCTGGGAAAAGGTTAGCATTAGCTGGGAAGGAACATGAAAGGGGCATCACATACGAGGATGATCTCAAAGAGCATCTCCTGGTCAACCTGCATGAACTTCTGGTCCCACTCTTCGATCTCGGTCGTCTTCTTGCGAGCGTCGTTCTCCTCATCGGCGTTGACGGGGGGGTCGTTGCGGTGGTGCTCACACCACTCGATGACCTTTCTCAGGACGGCCTCGTTGACGTTGGGAATGGGAATGGGGTTCTCCTGGCTGATGGCATCATCACCGACGTCCTCAAGCATGTTCTTGATGAGCATGGAGCGCTCAGCAACAACGCGGTCTGGAACCAAACGGTTAGCAGGATGCGACAACGGAGGAAGGAGCAAGCCTCGGAGAGAAAAAGATGTGACGTACCGACTGGGAGGGTGATGCTGTCGTTGGACTGCACCCAGATCTTCTGCTCCTTCTTTTCGGTGGCCATCTTGATTGATGTATGTGTGTCTACGAGTAATCTCGACGATGTCAGTTGGTTGAAGCAGAGAAATGCGTGTGAAGCTGTATTGTAGCGAGGTGGGGTTGATGGGGGAAGTGTGAGGATTTGGATTGATCGACGAAGACGGAAAGCAATGCAGTAGATATACCTACAGAAAGCTAATCGGAGAAAGAAACTGGAGTGGGCGCGACAGAGAGGTGGTTTGGACGAAGTGGTGTTGGTAGCAAACAATGGCGGCTACGGGTTGCGGATGGAGATGCTTTTGTGCTGATTCACAGTCTGACGTTGGTCGGCAAGGTATTGGGGGGCAAAGCGGTTGGTACGGTAGGTAGGTACCTTCTCTTT